TACTGCTATTGCAAGCATTAGAAATGGCTAAACTGAATAAAAAATGATGACACTTGAAAGTTAAAAATGGTAGGTTCTTTTTTTCTATCTTGTTGCTGCACCACTGGAAATCACACTGAAGCATTTTTCATACTTTTTACATACAAAAAGATGCACAGATTTGTACAAATGTATGAAGATGCACAGTCCAGATACAAATCCCGTGATGGCTCATCTGTAAGCATATAGTTCTTAATGGGTGCATGTAGCATCATTCTCTGTGTTTGTAGAACATGAAAAAGTAGTTGTAGGATAAATGATTAATTCACTTCAGACATAACACTTTTCATGCTTCATCTACAGTGAGGTTGATGTATTTTGCTTTACAATCTGGCTGCATCCTAAATGCCCTTACAAATTTCTGAAGTGGGCTTCTCGACAAGTCAGTCTTTCCTGGGAGTACCAGCAATAGCTTAATGCAACCCAGTGGTGTGTCTCATCTAAAATAACTGCATCCCCAACTCGTTGGCTTAAGGAAACAGTATTAATAAGCCACATATGAATGCAGAAAAACAGAAAATTCTCAACAATGAAAGCAAATATCTCTTGTTTAGTAAATTGTGTATTGGTTTCATGATCGAAAAGGACTTAAGTATATTGGCAATATATACTGAATTGAAACTTATTTAAAACACATTACAAAGAGACAGTTGATTGTCCCAAGTTGTAACTCTTTCGTTAGATAATGACAAAGTAGTAAAACTAATAGATGGTATTAAAATGACTAGTTAGTGAAGGAGAGCTTGAGGAATATAATAGTGATTTGGATTGCTGTAGCGTTATATTTGTGAGGTAAGTCTGTGGTTATGTGTATTCTAGTGAAATTATTTCTATGATGGCACAGGGTTTAGCTGCAGAGGATATAGAAAGATCATGAAAAAGAATCTTCAGAATATGTTATTAGATCGAAGCATGTCATTTACCTCCGGGCATTACAGCCGTCTGGAGTTTCACTTGTGGAATTTCACATACAAGTGTGTGCACCATGTGTTGCTGTTGTATTGAGAATAGATTATTTTGCTCACGGAAAAATGTTTCCTGCTTACTTTAACTGATGGAATGAAATTCTTGGTGAATCTGTAATGATGGGGATCTGTCTCTAATCTACAAAACTTAATTTCTAGTTTAAAGTAGAATATTGTCTTCTATTTTGTGATTGCATTTGTTATTTATCAACATGATGCAGAACATGAGCATGTTAATCAGATCTATGTGGATTCCCACGTATCGATCTTTTTGGAAGTGAACTTTGTCTGACTTTTACCTCTTAAGGAGGTTATCTGTCCACTTCATGAAAACACCATAAAATTCAGCTCTCTATTCTGGAGCAAATCAGAGGTGGAATAGCAGTAGGTTTAGAAAAAGCTGAATTTAGGGATTGGGACTGAAACAGGGGCCTTGGTTTATGCCATATTGGCAGAGTTGTGTGATGTTTTAGGCTGAGGCACGTATAGGTGCTGGAGGGGAGTATCTCATGGAGATGACTGAGTTGTATGAGCAGTGCCTGCTTGTTCGAGTAGCTGGTTTTAGCTGTAGCTGTTCACTTTAAAAATCAGATTCTTAGTGCAAATTGATGACAGATCACTAGAGTGAGAGGAGATGCACTTACACATCCTTGCTTGAGAATGTGGCCCAGACTGCTCCATGGAAACAAAAGAGAGGAGAAGCAGAAGCAGTGTTAGTTTTTGCTTTAAAATCTAATCTGTATGCTTGAAATGGAAATATGCCCATTCTAGATAAGTTATTTTCAGTGGAATTGCCTACGCTTCCCCCTCCTCCATCCTGAATGCCGATGCCCTGTAAAAGGCAAAGCCTGGTACCTGTCTGTAACCCTTCCTTGTCACTGCTGCTGTAGAATCTGCCCAGATGAAGTCTTGACCTCTTTTACCAGCTTTGGCTACTGAAGATGGCAGCCACTTCAACACGAATGTCAGGAATACCTCTAATGCGCTAGGCCTCCCGTTCTAAATTTACTCTCCTTCTGGTTTATGGTCCCTCCTCTGTGGCTGCAGCAAGAGGCCCCCTTTTTATGACTCACCCCTCCTGCCCCCCTTTCTCGCTCCCTCCCTCCTTCCCTCCCTTGATAGTAACCCTTTGTGCACATCGCCTGTTTGAGAGAAGTGCTTACTGGGTCTCTAGCAGATTGGCTGCCACAATGCGCTCTTGTGTTGCCGCTAGGTAAGATCAAATTCAGATGAAATCCTATAATTCAAAGTAGGTTAAAAGGCTGTCCTTGGAACTTTGCAGTTTCAGTATCCCAAGATGCTGGTAGGGGCCTCAGACTGAAGCACTGACAGGAGAATAGCGCTGTTTCTCTTTTAAAATGAAGTTAACAACTTGTTTTGCAATTGGTTTTGGAACTTTTATAACATCTTGTTAACCAGCAATAATTATTGTTGTAGTCAATTGCCTAATAACTATAGTCATGGTTAGACTTTGCTGAGGTGTTTTTTTTTTGTTTCTGTACACAAAAATGCATAAAAGGGACATTATAGGAGAGTGAATATAATTGCTTCACTTCGTACTGGGGAAAACTGGGAAACACATTAGTTATTGTAAAAAAACTGGAACTAGTGATTTTTCTCCCGCCTGTGGCAGCTAAACAGTATTACTGGTATACACAGTATTTGGGGGGATGTTTTAGTGCAAGTTTTGGGGGAATATTTACAAAAGCCAGCCTTAGCACCACTGAATTCTCGAGGACCTAAAGTTAGAGCACCTAAAGTTAGACTTCTGCTCCGTATTGACCCTAAAGAAACCTCACTCACTCTCTCTCACCTCCCCTCTCCTATATACAGAAGCTGAGACAGATTTGTTTTCTTCATGAAAAGTTTTTGGATTTCCCCCTTATTGGAATATGTGCTCCTAACTCAGCTGGGTGTTTTCAGAGTATTGCACAGGAAAGACAAGTTACCTGGAAGTCTAAAAGCCTTTTTTACCAAAAAAAAAAAACAACAAAAAACCAACCCAAAACCCGCTTTTGTGGACAGCTGTATTAATGGAAAGTTGATCAGAAGTTTTCTGTAGTGCCTCATGATTTAATTTGTGACATTATTTCATCCTTCAAATGGTCACCACTACCTTAGAATACAAGCATATTCTGTGCCAGAAAGTTAGTGTAACTTTGAAGGCAGTGGTTGTTTTGTTCAGCGAGGAGAAAACGCATTTGTGCTTATTAAGTTGCTTTGGTTTAATAGTGGCAGGATGTAGCCTTGTAAGCAGCATCTCATGAATACTGTTTATTAGCATGGCCAGTATTTGTGCTAAACTTAAGTCTTCCGTGCTACTGTTTTGCGAAGAATTAATTTACTCATAAATTTAATTCAGTAAATTACTAAAGTTTTTAATAATCATTTTTAATTTCTTCTTTCCCTTATATGGCTTCCTTGCTGGATGGTGTTACACAGCTCACTGGGGAAGGCCGCTGCAGAAGAAAACTGCCACTGCTCAGTTCTGGATTTTATAACGTGACTCAACTCGCCAGTGTTGCAATGCTCCTTTCGCTCCTATTTTGTCACATACAAACATACTATGAAAAGCATTTACAGAGTAGCTTCTGTTCAGCATTCTGACTACGTAGCCTTGCTGTCAAGCCTCGGGATGTAAGCTGATTGCCTGCAAAGGGCAGGAAAATAGTGTTTAAAGCATTTTAAGCAGTGCTGGGTGGTGGTGAATTACCAGTTGTAGTTTCTTACCCTTTAGCTGAGGAATCAGATACTGATGACAGCGAGAGGGAGGATGGTGGGACTGTGGCTGAGTAGTCTGACCTGGTACTGCAAATCCCATGTTCCTACTTTTATGTGGAAAGTTAGCATTTTCAGTATGGTACTTTTATGATTCATAGTTTCTGAATCTTAATATAGACAGTTTTTGCAGTGGCCCTTGTAATACTATTCACTGTCTCAGCCATTTACTTTGCACTTACTATCAGTGCAGTTATTTCACATTAAACTTGGGTCATAGGAGCTGCTGTGTGAGAGCAAACCACGATTAAAAATGGAGGATTCAGAACTAGGATTCCAGCTATAGCAGTGCTGTAGAAGATTTTGTCCTCAGTGTGGGGCTTACAAGAGCTGCAGGGGTAGCTTGTTGATTGCGAGCCCCTTAAACTGAAACTGTTTCCTTCCTATGATAGAAAACTAGCAGAATACTATTTGGATCACTAACCCAATTCTTGTAATTATCTTGAGCTGGTGATGAGCCACCAATCACTATGGTTTCTTGTATTAGAAGGGGGTTGCTTGGTTCCTCCTGAGCACAGAGTTAGGTGTTGCATTTAGGTAACAGGCGTCAGATGTATGTAACTTTTGTATGCATGCAATTAACAAACGCGTAGCACAAATACCCTTCAGCAGTGAGTCACATGGATTAAAAGTTATGTTGCATAAAAGATGGTGGTTACTATTTTGGGAGTTCCTATGTAGGTAAATATTTTAATATTTTTTAAAACATTATTTCATTGTTGTGAAAGTGCCTAATTGAAGTTACTCAAAAAAGAGAAAAACTAAAGGTACACAACAGATGGTGAACTGACCCACAAAAAGGGGCAGTCTTCCAAGAAAAAGTGGAGGCTTTGCAATTCTCCTGTTATATTTTCAGACAGTAGTAAAATTCAGGCTGTGTTTTGAAGGTTGGTTTTTTTTTTTAACTCTTGCAGCTTTAAAGCAATTTACTTAGACCTAGAGAAATTTGAGACTATGCTTGTTGAATTCAAAGGAGACAAATGTGATTTGATGCTGTCATGGTTCTACTTTGTAAAATTGCATGGCAAAGGGTAAATAACGTATAGATAGATTTTTACCAGCCTTACTGTTTCAGACTGGGAGTGTACAAAAGGCTCTAATGGGAAAAGTAAGGGCTCAGTTACACCAAGCAGCTGCTGGGGAAACTGAGGTTTTAAAACTCAAGTTTCTTAGTTCATTTAAGAAGTATAAATATCTTGTGTTTTCTTTTAACCACAGGTCACCTTTACTTGGTAGATACGTTAGCAGGAGATCCAGAGGTTCTGCAAGTAGATGCTGAAATGTACTATGAAAAACTCTTGAAGAAATCACCATCTACTGCTGATGTTTTCTCGATCCCTGGAGGAGAAGAGGTAGGAGGCTCATGTTTTTCATACTGCAAGTTAGATACTTGCAAACTAATTTGTTGGTTGTGTTCATAGTCTGTCTCTGAATAGGGGTAAACTAGTGTGGCTGGATTACAGATCTCTTAAAATCAGCAAATTCTGCATTATTTCAATTAGTTTGCATGTTGCAAATGAGCGATAAGCTTAAACTGCAAATCTAAAACCTTCTGAGTGTGGATGAGGGTTTGAAGTACTGAGCTGAACTTTGCATCTTGACTTGGCTCCTTATAGGACTGAATCAAAAGTGAATTTGATAGACATGTATACCACGGCACAGTTCTGTATTTCTGCCTCTGCTGTGCAGTTTACACAGGTATTGCGATGTAGTCTATCTTCTGTTTCCATTCTTCCCAATACTTATATTGTTAATTTTGAATATGGGTCCTCCCAGAGCAATTCTGATCAGATGTGATTGGTAGATGGTATAAATACTGTTAGTGCCAATGCTTTAGGGGTCCATTCCTGAGCCACCCGGGGAATGCATTGGAGATGACTGAGCAAGACTACTGAAAATTCTCACTCCAGTCAACCTATGAAACCTTTAATTCAGGGCATTTTCTAGGTTATGAAAGTTGTGCTGAGCTAACTCTTATTGTACTGTCAGAGCAGTAATTGAATTAGTTGAAATAAATATTTGGAATATGGTGGCTTCTCTACAATGTAATAAAATAATATGCAGTATTTTCCAGAAAAATACTGTTTCAGGTGGGTAGCTTCATCTTTGAGCCCTGAGTGTAACTAGCTTTAAATACTCTTTTAATGCCCTCTAGTGGACCATGTAGGGTTAAATACAAACAAACCTGAAAATGCAAGGTTCCCCCAGTTTAAGGCTTCTGGATCCTTACCTCAATCTTTTATGCCTGGTTGTACTTTTAGAGGCTCATTTGCTGTTCCATGAGAAGGGAGGGTAAGTTAAAATGCCAAGCAGTGCTGTGTGTAGTCCTGCAATGGTTAGACACAGCGAGATCAGTTAAAGGTGGACTTCTGGCTTCTGATTCAGAACTGTCTTGATTTTGTGGCTTGTCATCAGACCTTAAATGTATCACATGACTGATCTGAGTCTCATAGCAACACACTTCTCTCTGCATTCGTTTAATTCAGGTCTAAGCTAATCTGCAGTCAGACAGCTAGTCAAGGGCATAAGTAGTGGTAATGCTCTTGCTAGATTGGTTTTTTTCCTTACACTCTGTAATAAAGAGTTCAAAGAATCTTGATATTTTGCAATTAAAAGAAATTAAATGCAGTAAGGTAAAGCTTCCATCCCCACTGAACACCTGAGCTAGCAGTCTCTATCATATACCTACAACCTGAAGGATGAGGATTTTGGTGTTTGAATAATGGCTGCAGTTACCAGGCTTTTTTTTTTTTCCTCTGTGTGTGTGAATTAAAGCAGGTTTTAGGTGACAGGACAGGCAACCGTGAATAATTATTTAGCAAGTGTTAAGTGGCTGTCAGCCCACTTGCTCGGGTCACAGAACTTCTTTTTGGTATGGCACGGTCTTTGGTCAAGCATTCAGTACACAAATAGCACTGGGATTATTGCGAGTCGGGATGAAAGCGCATTGGCAGCGTTCGTAGACGGAAAGCTATGCTTGGCTCCTGCTGATGTTGTTAGCACCTGTGAAAGTGCACATTTCCTTATAGAACAAAATAACAATCATAGCAGAATTGGAAATAGTACTGGCCTTTTCAGTATAAATAATGCTCCCAGGTGCCATAATGACATTGATGCTGTTATACTTGAAGCATGCAAAGAACAACTGAATCTTTTTACACGCTGAGGTTTTGGGAAGCTCATGAATACAGATTTCAGGCATTTTTCAGTTTTGTTTTTTTTTTTTTTCCTGGAGTCCAGTGTTTGCACAGATGATCCCAGGATTTTGGCACTCATAAACCAGTGAACACTGCTTTCATCTTAAAGTTGTTATCTTGAATAATCCATATTCATACTACTCCTTCCATGCACCAAGAAATATTAAATGTATCACATGACTGATTTGAGTTTCATAGCAAACTGACAAATGGGTGCAATTAGAGAGAGGCACACCCACACATACACAATGGACCAGATTTTTGAAAGTACAGTACATACTGTGCTAAATTATGCACGCTCTTTGCCTGTACCTAAACTTACATGAAAGCGTTTGCAATATTCATATGGAAATCGTCATCTCTATGCATATAGAGCTGTTTGAGCACAGTAATTTTGTGTTTGTGTGTCACATCATTTAGAAGTTTAGTCTAAGACTGAGAGCTGCATTTTGATTTTAGCTTTGCCTGCACCATAACCACCTTGTGCCAATTATCTACCCTCTCTATGCCTCACAGATAAACTGCCCAGCCACTGCCCTAATGCTTTGATACTCCCTGTACCCTGAGGCTTAATTCATTGTTTGCAAAACACCACAAGTCCTCAGCTGGACCAGGCTGTAAGAAGTGCAAGTTGTATTTGTTTTTGTTTGATGTGTTTGGTCTTTCATAACACCATTTGTCTGCATGTAACAGTGTTCAAAGCCAGGTTATGTGCTAATCGTAGTAAGTTGGCATTAAGGTCTTCACTAACTTCAGTAGCTTGATTTCTTTTAAATTAACATGATTTACAGATAATATTAGAATATTATGCATGTTTCAGTGCCTTGAAGTTCAGGATTGAGAGCATGTCATGCTATACTTACACCATGCATGTTAGTAAAACATACCATAAGTGCATCTAATACATGAAATACTTCTCGTGAGCTTTGCAGTACAAATAGCTACAGGGCTTGTTTGTTTTTTAGGTTAAACTTGAAGATTCCTGTGTCTGTTTTGTCCCTCTCTACCGAAATAATCCTACTTGCAAAGTGTTGCTGTTAACTGATCCAAAGGATAAAGAGACAGGTTAGAATTGGTCAAAATATGTTGACATTTGAGTAGTTGTACTTTACTTTTAAAATGGTCTGCTTGTTTATCTATTTAAATATTTTGGGTTTTCTTTTGAATATGAAGTGGATCCAGTTCACCTGTCAGGGATTTGTGCCAGGGGGCTACGGATTAGAAGGGAGGATTGACAATCAGGACTTTTAAATTCTGTAAGTAAATCTGCTGGTAGCTGAAAAATCACCTTGGCTAAATCTGTTATTCTTTCTGAGTTTGTGCATTGGGCCAGTATTTTTCTAATTCAGGATGATGTGAAATTTAATGCATTATATTTTATATAAACAAGAGCAAATACATATATGTGAAATTGTACTAGGTCTTACTGATTCTTGTTTGTATTATTTTAACTTTTTCTTCTTCCATCCTAATTTTAATTGTCTTCTGTTTCCAGTACTGGTGTGTGAGGGGTAAATTTGGAATGAGACCATGCTTGAGAGTTGAGTTAAATCCATTTTATTGGGCAGTTCTCCCAAGATGTTCTTTAAACTCTACCAGCTTTGCCTTGCTTATTGCCCGTAATGCTGGTGTTTTCCTATTACAGCCATGTGTCAGCCTGACAGGGATGCACTAAACTGTGTAGAAGTCAGCGTGTGCTTACCAGTGTTTCTCTTTCATGAGTCACTGCTTAGAGTATCAACAGGTTATTAAGATTTGATCAGCGATTGTATCTAAGTTTTATCTTCCTGCTATCAGGATCGTGGTATCTTCAGACACAGCCTGATTTCTTCCTACTTACTCTCTTAGGCAAGTGTTTTTTACTATGGGATGTGAAAAAATACAAATGTAAAATAATTAACAATTCTTGATACCACTGTCATTAATGGGAAACTTGACTCCAAGTTGCATTTTTGCTGGAACATCTACGACAAAGACCTCAACCTATGCATTGACCCATTGTGTCCCTTAGGGAATACAGAACACATGAAACCTCTTAAACTTTCAGCTTCCAAATTTGTCAGCAAGCTAATGGCATCTGTCATTACAAATAGAGTTGTTTGTTTGTTTTCTTTTTTTTTAAAGGATAAGCTATAAGTTATGCCTGAAAGGCTCTAATAGCCAGTCTTAGTAATATGACAAAAGCAAGGTGAAGAAGTTTAGCAGTCTCTGTTCGGTTCTAAAATGTGTCAGGTAATGATCTTACACTCCTAGAACAGGTACTGTTGGTGTAACTATGTGTTCATTGTTCAGCCCAAACTCTGTAACCAGGAAATTTCTTCATAAGAACAAAAAAACAAATTAAAATAATCTGTGGTTAGAGGTGAACTCTGCAAAGTTTTCCAGCTCCTTTTACATACAATTTCAATTGGACATTTGCTGATGGCTTGTCATTCCCATAGTTGAAGGTAGGAGACCTTTCCAAGTTTCGAGTGTAGTCAAAAGACCTTTTGGTCCCTTCATTGATATAGAATTACTTTCCTGACATTAATTTATATATTCCATTAACATTTTTCTGAAAAGAGGTAGGCACTGGTGTGTAAAGGAGAAAGGCATCTACACTGGAGGCCAGGGTTGCTCTGTGAGTGCAGTTGTGCATACTTACTAACCCAGGTTCAAATGAATGTAGTTGGAAACAGCATTAATTTAATTTAGGCTGCACAAGAGGAATGGAGATCTGTAACAACTACAGTGCAAAAATAAAGAATTATTAAATAAATGCAGGTGAAAGCAGTGCATTTAGCACAAATCTTCAGTGAAATGATCTCATAATATTAGGAACAACAAGTATTAATGAGATACATGCACACAAGGAAAAAATGATTTCCCACAGGAACAAGTCAAACAAGTCCACATTGGAACCTAAATTATATGATAGCTATCTACATTAAAAGCTTAAACCTAGCAGAGTAAACACCTTATTATATTATAAACAGCAGACTGACTGACTACTGTGACCCCCTTGCAAAGCATTAGCTTGAGTCACCAGCCCATAGTCACAGAAACAGTCTCACAGAGGTCAGTAAGTTTAGTTATTGAAGTAAGGCTTTTAATGTTTCCTTTTAAAAGTATAATCTGAAGGATTTTACTGGAGGTTCTTTCTTTCTGGATCTTATATGCTATAAACATGTGGCCAGCCTTCCTACACCACTGATGTCATTTTTTTCTTTAGATGAGTTTTAATAAATATTCATTAGTTCTCTGAAGTCTGCTGGGGTGTGTGTATGTGTGCATGCGTACCTATAGATATGGGTATATGCATTTGAAGTATTTTGTCCAAATATTTTCCCCACATTTCAAGAGACTTGGAATGGACTCTCAAGGCAGCAGACTGTGTTAATGTGGCAAGTCCATCTGGATTTGCTTGCCTATCTGACCTTTCATTCTGACCAGTGAACACATCACATTGTTTCAAAACCAATTTCTTCAGAGAAAAGCAATATTTATTTACTCAGTCACCATTACTTAAGGACATGGGCCGAAAGTTAAAACACTATAAACAAGTTGCATGGTTTCATGATTTTTTTCCCTCTCTTAAGCTTTACACTTTTCCTGTGAACTGGAGTTTAATCCAGATGGGAGAGACAAGCAATCTTCTTGTAGTTGATCTCTCTTCTTTCTCGTGTGCTGTCTGCTGTGTCTGCATTTTAGTTTTACTTCACACCAGGAGTGCTCCTAAAAGCAAATTTCCTGGTTGTCCCCGCATACTGTGCTTTGGTTCATATCAAGGAGCAGTCTCTGAGTGTGTGAACTAGGTTACTTTTGGCTGAACTAACATTAGTGGGTGGGCTCCAGAAGTGCACTGATGTGCCCCAACCTCTCATAGGCTTTTGGTTTTCAGCACCAGGCTAGAATTTGTGAACATCAGGTTCTCTGCAATGAATGTTTTGCTCAGTTGTGTTAGTGTTAGTCTTGCTAATGCAAATACAGCCCACTGATTTTTTCCTCTTGCAATTCCTTTGGACATTTCTGAAGTCCAATGGGAGAAGGCAGCCAAGGGTGTCCCAGGATATGCTGGGGTAGAGGTGCTGTACTGAGAAGCATTTGGAAACAGAGTAGCAGATGGAGGTCATGACTATGTAGGGCATGTTTAGTTGTGTACTTCTGAGGTCCTGGTGTGAATGGTGAAGCAGCAAGGAGGATCAGAGTCCTCATTGCTTGGTTCTACCACAGCTCACACAATGCTCTGAGACCATAACACACTGCTCCCGAGAGACACAACCCTCCCCTGCTCCAGTTGTATCCCTGACACCATCAGTTCCTTCAGCTTTGCTCCAGCATCTCCACTTCTGCTCCTGGTAGCTCCACAGCATCCCTCACCCCCTAAAATGAGCTCTGTACAAAGCCTTTGACAGCTTCTGGAGTAAACCACATGCCTGGGCAGTACCTTAATCTCAGCGAGAAAGCTGTATACCTTGGATGTCTTATGTTCATCTGTGATGGGATTTCCTCTTTTCGATTCATTCATGTTTACATCAATAATGGTTAAGTATTGTATAGATAAAATGATGTATATAATACCTATGAAATAACATCCACTGTAATATACTTATTTCCCCACAGTTTCTGAAGAAAATATTGTCAATCTTACCATTTATGTTTGAAATTGTAGTAATTTAGACTCTAGAAAAATACTGAATTTAGCAGCCTAACTACAAGTTTGCCTGTGAAGAGCTTTGAAGTCTGAGGGCATTTAATTCTTGAACATAGGTTAAAGGGGGGTTGATTCCAACACTGAGATTTGTATCTGATCAGATGGGCTGTCCAGAAGTGATGTGTAGCTTGTGATCTGAAATGACCTGCATATTTCAAAGAGAAAATGGATATGGTAGCTTTTCCATGGGACTTGGTCTTGGTTGGGAGCACTTTTAATTTATTTTTGATGGGCTGAGTGTTTTGTTCTGTTAGTATATCTGTACAGCTATTTTTATGAGAATGTAAATTGTGTTGTAAGGGCTTACAGAGCATAGCATGGGTGATTAACATCTTTATAACACTAAATAAACATACCCTATTGTGGCATTTTCTGTATGCTGTATATAATAATTTACAATAACTGTTAGATGCCATGGAACATTTATCACAAGACATTTGCAACAAATCACTGAGACTCGAATTGCAGAAGAAAATGTAATTGGTTGCAGGAAAGATATCTATCTTAGATACTTGAATGGCTGCCATTACTGCAGCATCTGCATGCCTCCCAAACTTTAATGTATTTATTTCGATAAGACTCTTAGGAGAGAGAAAGAAATGCTCTTGTTCCACTTGAAATATAAGGAACTGCGAGACACAGCTATTCAGGGTATGTCAGTGTTGCAGAACTCAGTTTAAGGTAGGATCTCTGGGCTGACCTAGGCGCGGTTGCATGGAACTGCTTGTTGGGGGAATTTACCATTCTCCTTCCAAGGTGGAAATCTGGCAAAAGCAGCCCCTGTAAGTGTGCCATCCATCTGAAATACTGCCACAATTAAGGTAAAGATGACTTTATCTAAGGTAAAGAACTGGTATATGCTATATTTATTGAACTCAAATTACATCTCTCATATATACCATTGTCTTTAAATTAGTTTGTGACTGACGGATGCATTTCAGCAATTCAGATGAAGGCTGGGGAAAAAGAGGTACCAAGCTGGATGTTGCTTTAAGTTTTCTGCATTTCTCTGTGTGTGGAGCCCTGATGTGCACATTTCATTAAAATAGTGGCACACCAGTTTGGGAACATTTGGCCAGCATAGCCTAGAAAGTAAAAATATAATCCAGACCTGGGTTGGGAAGGGATCCATGTTTGCCGAGCAAAAGGAGACATTTCACAATCACAGTTGCATTATGCTCAGTGCCTAATTCAACTGAGGGTTTGTCAGTGCTGTATTCCAAATCCCTGTAGTGGCATGGACTCGTGTGCTTCACAGGCTCTCAGCTTCTTGCAACACTCTGAATATGTTTGACTGTAAGCAATCAAAGTTCTGAGGTTTAGCAAACTGGTGCTTACAGGGCACGTGTATACACCATTAATGGTGAACTGAAATGTGTTGGACTTAATCCATTTCTTCTTAGCCTTGCAATTGCAAGATCAAGCGTATCAAGTCTTGCCATTGCAAGATGATTGTAATCACATACATCGTGATTCACAGGGTTCAGGTGATGCGTGTAACTCACTGTTGTCAATAACTTGATTGCTTATGATAAGGTGAACATAATCAAATGTGTTGGAAAGAACAAGACTAGGAAAGGAGAGAGAGGGAACATGTGGTCTCACAAAACATGTTTGCATTTGAAATAGTGTTCCTCAAAGTTGATTATAAAAAGAAAATAAGAATATGGGAAAGCATGGATGGGTTTAACTGCGGACCAGATGTTGGCTTGAAAAATTGTAACAAAAAGTGAAGTACATATGTTTGTGTGAAATCTGGAGAAATGTTTTTCCTTCAAGGAAGGCATCCATATAGATAAGGTTGCTCAAGTAATGTGATGCGACAGTTGCTATGTCAACTAGTGTTCCCTTCCACACATTTAAATTATTGAACAGCACAGTAAATGTTCTATAAAAGTAGCTGCTTAGAACGTGGTTATGCATCTGCCTGTTTTCCTCAAAAATTTTTAAAACTTTTCTGACCTTTACTATGTCCGTTGTGTGTGTCTGAGCTGTGTGCCACACCTCGGTGCAGCTCCCATTAAAGTCAGCTTTTGGCCCACAACGTCCCCTTTGTCTGACTCAGTAGCTGCGTATTTCATGGATGTGTAATGAAGCAGTGACTGCATTTGAAAGCAGAGTGAAGGGATGGAGGGAACAGATTGAATCCATCACAGAAAGAGTATGAAACTCCCATGCAAGTAAGTGCATAATATTTAATGAATTGAATCTGGTGCCAGGCATCTGCCCTTGCGTGCAATACTTCCTTCATTGTTAACCCAGTACACAAAGTGTAATGCTTTTTGGCACATGCTTTAATAATTTATTAGAAATATAAGTTAGCTAAGTGGAATCTCCAGCGCTAAAGCCAGTGGGAGCTGGTAGAGGTTGAAGCAAAAAGGGAAACTAACCTGTGCGCAGCAGCGGCATTTGTATAACCTGGGGCTAAATCGGGCAAATGATGAATCCTGTTAAAGCCATTTCACTTCCTTGTGTGTGAATTTGTCTCTAACTCATAGGTGGTTTTTAACTTTCTTATGTTTGTCCCTAGTTGGGTAGCTCAGAAAACCGGTAGACGGTGCACTCTTAGGACACAAGAGGTGTGAAGTCCATGCTGTTCTTCGCAATATACTTCCTATATTGTATTTTATCTTTTTGTCTATAAAGGAGGATGCTAGCTGCCCTATTTGAAGATAGTAAAGATACTGGTGTTCTTGGGCACTCCTGAATTTGTGGCCATGTACTTTCTTTGGGTGGATGTGACCACTATATGGATAATAAAAATTATTTTTGCTGAAATATTTGCTGCTTGATGTGTTGGTGCTCATAAATGATCAAATTCCTGTGTTTATTCTAAAACCTCATCTAAATCCTTAAAATCTATTCTGTGTCCTTTGAAATGACCCTGTGTTAAAACTTTTCTTTCCAAATAGGGCTTGGAAGCAATTTCAGAGTCACTGTTGCTGCTTCAGTCTTCCTCTTGTAGATCTAATGGCAAGCAGTGAATTCTGTAGATGAACATGTAGGAGTGGGGTTTAAATACTTGTTTCTGCATATGTGAAAAATTCAGGAAGGATGGGAAGAAGTGGGGTGCAAGTTTTGCACGCCACCCACACAAGGACCTGACTTATGTGTAGGTTGGTCATACACTTCTGCTGCAGGGCAAAGCGTATCTTACTTACGTGTGCATGTGTCATTTGTTGGTAGAAACCTCTCTGTATGCATTTGAAGTTCTGTGAATATCTGTCCATGCAGAGTTTTAGGAGTCTGTGCTCTAAATCTGTACCCAAATTTATAGAAATTTGACCACGTAAGCAGCTGAAAGGCTTTTTGATAAGGTGGCTGTGAAAACTTTTGTGTTTGACTTGCGTGGGTACCAATACGAGCACGTGTGCATGTGGACAGGGGAAGTCTGCAAGGAACGTCAAAAATGTGACCTTTATCTAGGTAGCACTCTTAGTCCCAAATGCCACTTCCTGTGCTACTGAAGGGATATTATGCAGGCAGTGCTTTGTTCATATGGCACACAGGTTGTCACACCAAAATCACATCAACTCCTGAGAAAAATTACCTTCATTTGATGCCTTGTGTGGTACTGAAAATTGTATATCGAGGGACACGGAGGTGAAATTGAAATACAGTCATTGTTCTGCTGTCTCACAGCAGATCAAACTGGAGCCACCTGGAGGGAGAAGTAAATCCAGGTCTGCTTGTGGAAAGGTTCAGAGCCAACTTTGTATTTATTTGCAGGTAATGTGTTCCCCTTTTTCTTTTTGCAGTTTTGGCAGTTTATTTGAACCAGCGTTGGTGGCCTGTTGAAGATGTAGTAAAGACTGCTGACCCTTCTAGAGATGGGCTAATTTCGGTAAGGATGCTATTTAAACAGTTGCCTTTACCCTGGAATTTTCCAGCTAGAGCAATCATGTGTAATTGTCTCTGTTCTCCTATAGCTCATGCCTTATAACCTGTGGGATTTGGGCTGTGTGGCTCACCAAGTACTTCACATGTCTCCCATTGCACAGTGACATACACATTCACCTTCTCTAAGCAATTTTGTGCATGCAGTTTATGATTCATCTCTGGGATATATTAGTTTTTGTTTTGAGTTTACCCTCACTGCCTACTAAAGAAATAATCAGATCAACTGAATTACTGCATTCGCAGTAACTCTTCACGTTACAGTGTTGCTGACTCTTTTGATACTTAGGTGTTACTGACCTTTGGAACAAGGTCTTTCTTGAATAATATTTATATTGTGTTCATTTTATGAAGCAGTTGTTATTTTATAGTTTCTATATCTGTAATTCTTTTTCCAAATACCCAAATAAATCATCTTACAACTGCTTTTTTTTAATTTGAGAGATTTGGATAGCCTGTAGTCTGTTTTCAACTAAGAAATCAAATGCCTACTGCATGTGAGCTTTGTGTTGCCATGAGACTGGCAATTCAGTTTTGTTTCCAACCCAACCCTCTGTGTCCAGCTTTGGTCCTTAACGATTCTGTTCCTCTGTCATCTTACCCTAATATCTGCCATACATAGAGTTTAATTTTTCACTGAATTAAGTAGGCTTTTTGTGGGTAACTGAACTGGAGGGATTTTGAGATATAAATCCTTGCAAAAGAGAGCTGGGAGCTGAAACATAGGCGTTCAGGCATCTGCTGTATCAACCGAGAATGAAAAAATATCTGAAAATAGAAAACATGCCCCTTGTAGCTCATTGCTGAGAGGTAAGTTGTCATTATTTGTGGAAACTAGTTTTATTTTTCAACGTTCCTATGAAGCTTATTGGCACCACTTTTTACCTTGACGAGCAAGATGATCTTGGTCCTTTATATTCCTCCCTTTCTGTCCTGTTGGTTGTCTAGTAAGAAACACAGCATAAAAACTAATTGTTCAGCCTGGATTATAAGACGTTAAGGACATACTGTATTTATTCTGTATTGTATAGTGTCTACCTCAGTCCAGTCTTGGCCCTACTAAAGTTCTCTGATGCTGTGGCAAGACAGCTAATAGGAGAGAGGTGACCAAGATAATACAGTGAATGCTGTCTTTATTTCCCTTTGGGGTAGTATTAGATTGCCCTGATCCTGTTTCCAAACCTGTGACTAGTTTGCTGTGACAACCATCAAGCTACTTCTTTTCCTGCTGCTTCAGGATTCCTGTCTGTGACAACAGGAGATATGTCAAACTTTATAAATCATTACAAAATTATTCTACACCCCCAGGATAGAGGGTGGAACACTGGGAAAACTGTTTTTGTTATTCTGTCTGAAGCAATTCAAGAGGTATTTTCCCCAGATTAAGCGTACATGTTTCCTGACCTCCTCCTTCCTCTCCCTTTTAATTTTGAAGCCTTGTATGAAATGCAAAATACTGTTCCCTGCCTCATTTTTCTTTGGTCTGTTTTTGTTTGTTCTCTAAGGTCCAGACATTTGGAGAAAGGATTGTCCTCTTTGTTCTGAACTACATTATTTTTGGAATGCTGGAAGGGAGTTCAGCTAATGATGCATTCTTTCTACCTCACTCTGCCACCGAGTGTGCCAAGATACTCTGGAGAAATGGCGAGGCTGTTGCCTTTTACTCGGTCAAGATGAAAGGTAAGGTCATTTTAGAGACACATTTCCACTGGTTCCTAATAGTTAGAAATGTAATCCTTTTGTTTATCTTTAGTATAAATAATTCTGGCTCTCATTTACATTTTTATATCAAATCTCTCTCAGAATGAATCTTGGGAACAAACCTTCCCAGAATTTGGAAGCAATCCATATTACTTTCATTTAAACACGGTGGCTCCAAACTCTATTCTCAGTTACATTGAGTGATCTGAGGTACTGGCTTATTCCAATAAAATATACTTTCATGCAGCCAAGCAGAAGGTTGTACATCAAGGAACAAAGAATGCAAGGCCTTCCCATGGAAAGGAGGACTGTGTCCTGGAAAGAATGATAGCTGAAAAAAGGAGTACAGTTCAGAGTGGAAAACTGACATGTTGGGAGTGGCTGGTGGTGAGAAGTGGTAATATCCTTGGACGCATAAGGAGCAGTGGCTGGGTTGTGTAGAGGAAGTTGTATGCACTAGGTCAGTCCTCGAATGCCGTGTCCGGCTGTGGTACTACCAGTGTAAAGTATGATGATTAATTGATTTAATCATTAATTGATTAAGTAGCATAGAAAAGAAACAATGTATTTGGTTCTTTAGGGGTACTTTCACCAGTATAAGCTATAAGTGAAGGTAAATAGAGCATTTGCAGATACATTCCTGTTAAAAGGCTTCATTAGAATAACTCCAGGTGTGCAGTTGAGTGCGTACCCCCATGTAGGAGCTGGTTACCAGTCCGTGTTTAAGATTCATGGGAGTCATCTAGATACCAGCAGCTTAAACGTAGAGAAGTGGCTATCTTTGGAGGTAAATGTATTGTTCAAGTCAGTGATCAGTAGCCATCTGTCCAAAAAGGGGAGAATAAGAAACAGCTTGAGAGCTCTACTACAGACATGGATTGCTTTGGACTCCAGAGGATGGTCTGAGGATACCTTCTCTGATAGTCTCAAAGACCAGCAACAGTAAGAGATCTTCTGCTCTTCTGCTGCCTTGGGACGTGCAAAATCCTTATTCACGCTGAGGTGTAGCTTGTACACCACTGTGCTGGTACAGTGCTGCTGTACTATCAGTGCTGAATCAAGTGTCAGCCTGTGATAAAGGAAGCTTGTACGTATCAGTGAATGCACTGATGGACGGGTTCGTAATTGGCAAACACTTCACTTGCCATAGTACGTTTTCCTTTAAGTCCGTAAATATTTCTGAGCAAAGCTCTTGGAAAGAAACATTTGTATGGGCTGTAATGATTCATGCTGCAGTAAAATAAATTCGCACAGTAGTCTGTTATGGGTGGAGTATTAGCCAAGTTGAAACTCTTTCTGAGTAAGTTGAGAGTCACAGTTTGGTTTTAAACCAGGTCCACATAAAATACAACTTCTTCAAGTCCAGCTTTGTCAGCATCTGTCTTTTGTTGCCAATGTTTGTTTCTTTTCCTCTGGGCAGCTATATTTGTTAGTTTTTGGCCTGTGTCACAAATTACTTCAGTCTTTTGCCAAAGCCTTTTCGGGAAGCTTGAAACTGATTGTTTTTGCCCCTTTTTGCTATTTGCTGTATGCATTTAGAAAAGAATTCCTCCTGCTG